GGAAGCATTGCTTACAAGTCATCACATACCATATCTGCATACAGGTCAAAATATCAGTGAGGAATTATTTAGTGTTATAAATAAGTGGGGATTAGTAAACAAAGTATATACTATTGTAACAGATAATGAGGCGAATATGGTAAAAAGTATTAGTTTGTTAAAAGAGAATTATCTTTCTAATATTAATTGGCAGTTATGCATTGCCTATACTCTTCAACTTTCAATAAAAGAAGGGTTAAAGCAAATTAAGCCAATTTATAAATGGCTTTGGAGTATTCAAATATTTTTTAAACTTCCAAAGCAGGCACAACGATTGCGAAATATACAAATACAAATACAAATAAACTTATCTGATATAACTCAAAGTGACGTCGAAGATAAAGATGAAATAGTAAATCCACTTAAAGTTCTAATCGATTGTAAGACCTGTTGAAATTCGACTTACTATGCATAGCAAAGGATTTTAACATTGCACCAGCAATGCTTATACTTGCAACCTCTTTACGAAATAAGCCAGATACTGCTTTAAAACGAGAAGCCAAAAAACTTATGAAATTATGTTTAATCGCAGAAGAACAAAAGTATATATTTTTAATTTTTTTTAATTTAAAATTTATTATATAATTACATTTGCCTTAATTGGTTAATATGAAAACAATTTTTTTGGTTATACCACAGATAGTATCAATATCCTATAGGAAGACTTTCGTATTATTGGCTGTTTAAATCAATTTAATTTACATTATTTATATAGTTTAAAGCACTTATTAAAAAAATAAAACTATAAAGAATAAACAAAAAAGAAGTATATAGAAAGTTTTATTAGGGTTGTAAGGCTCTAGTATTAAAAATAATCAAAATTATTTTTGGTTTTAGAGAAGTTAGCATAATTGCAACCTTTTAAAAATAGGTTATTACCATGTTAACTTTTCTAAAACCAGAAATTTTTAATACTGGAGTCCTACTATACATGGGTGTTTAAATTATTTTTTAAAAAAAGTAATTTCGACAAACATTTTGATATTGTTAGTTGTTTGTATGAACTTCACAAAAAAACTATATGACCTAATATATTGTTGTATAATAATAAAGAATTCAGATAATTTCACTAAAAATTTCAATATCTATAATAATTAATTTCATTACTAAGAAACATTAATTTTGATTGACTAAATTTTGAAATAATTTTTTATTAAGAGAAGTAATATAGACACCCATGTATAAGTTCTACAACCCTAATAAAACTTTCTATATACTTCTTTTTTACTTATTCTTCGTAGTTTTATTTTTTTTTAAAAAGTACTTTAAACTGTATAAATAATGTAAAATTAAATTGATTTAAACAGCCAGTCATACAAAAGTCTTCCTATGGATCCATACCATAATACCTTGATAAAAAAAACTGGTACTACATATTATTTTGACATATAATTTAGAAATTTGACCCAAATTAAGCTTGATTTGGCCTAAGTTAAATTTAATTCAGATCAAAATTTAAACTATATTCTGGAATGCTATTTTAAAATAATATACAGTAAGACCTGGATATTATTTAATTAGATATATTTATTATTTAAGATTCTTATTAAATAAATTCAAATAGTATCTGAAGTACTATAGTTAGTGGAATATAATTAATAATATTATTTTATACTATTTAATTTATAATTTATTTTTTCTTCTTTTTAATCAAGGTTTACAAAACAAATAGTTTGTCTTTTAAAGCCATTTGAAGAAATTACAAGATACGTTTGTGGATCAAGATATCTTACATTAAATCTTGTATATCCTTATATTTGAACTCTGAAAAACAAGTTTGCTTCAAAAAATGATCATGGTGAATCATTTGAAGCTTGGGTTAATCAAATTTATAGCTCAGAAGATGTAGATACTAGTAATGATACAAGTCTTAGTAGTGATAATAAAGTTAATATACCATTAGCAGAAAATCGATGGCAGTAGCAATATGTATATCGAAGTACATATCGCCGTAAAGGTCCTGTTAGTTGTAAAAAAAATAAAAAGAAAAAAAAAAGTACTCTTACGGAATTAGAAGATTCTAATACTATAGAATATTTGTTATCTGTAGATTGTTCCGGGCTTTTAGAAAAAGCTCATGCTGCCATTTTTTTGTCTATTGATGAATTGTGGAGTACATCTAATGAAATAGGGTTGAAAGCCTCTATCCTGGATTCACGGATAATAAAGCTACTTCTATTTGCCACAATTTTGGAACAGGAACAAACTAAAGCTCAAATTCGTGAAAAATTATTATTATTTAGAACTCAATTAGATGATTCAAATAGTAATGAAAATATAGAAAGAAGTTCTGTAATTCTGAATAAAATAACTTTAAATGAAGAT